TATATATATATATATATATATATATATATATATATTTTTTTTTTTTTTTTTTCCAAATCAAAAGAAAGAAGGCAGCTTCCTATTATAACTAACTATAACTATAGCTCTTTAATATTACTCGTAAATCCAAGTTTAGTAATTTGAGGTTTATCATTTTACCAGGAGAAAGTTAGAACAATATCTTTGCTGGTAAGGTTGTACCTACAGCAAAAATAAGAAAATATAGGTAACATAATTTACAGGTTGTTTAAATATGTTTTTTTTATTTGTAAACATTATAACTAAGAAATCTATCCCTAGCTCTTTCATTAGCCTCGCCTTATTGATCCTGAATTCTCCTTTGAGATGCTCAGCTGGTAAGCATCATTGGTTGCCAGCCATTAAAACAGATTACAGAAAAAAATAAGCAAATGGACTAATTAACAAAACTCACCCTGCTGGTCCAGAGAGATCTCATTGCCATAGTCGTCTGCAAAGCCGTCATCAAAGTCATTTTCATTTGCATGCAAAGATGAAATAGCANACTCACCCTGCTGGTCCAGAGAGATCTCATTGCCATAGTCGTCTGCAAAGCCGTCATCAAAGTCATTTTCATTTGCATGCAAAGATGAAATAGCAGCTGCGAGCACACACAACACACCCCTAAACACATACATGATATAGCTTTGATTTCTGTTTTATATTTATAATCTTTTGAATATATAATTTGAGTAGATTCACTCCAGCCGCTCTCTTTCTCAGGAAGACCAGTCTTTTTGTGTTAAGCTCTGTTTAATGAGCCAACCTTTGCAGTGCCTGACTTATAAACTCTACAAGAGGGAAAAGGGAGGCAGAACACTGAGGAGGGTGTGTGTAGAGTAAGGGCTGAGTAATGCTTCCATGGAGGTACTGTTAAAAGTCACACTGACAAGGACATGAAGCCATTATGGAGGTGGGGCAAATAGGTAACCAGGGAAAAACTGAACCAAATGTAGAGGAGAAAGGCAAAGGAAATGTTTTAAACTTTTTTAACTTAACAAAATTATGTATGGATTTCAAAGAAAAATATTCATACCCCTGCATGATTTAGATTAACTATATTTTTTTATTTCACCAACTCATTTCTTCTGACAAGAAATAATAAGTTTTGGGAGTGTAATAATAAATAATAAATCCTTAAGCATAAACTCCTACCTAAATCTAATAGAAAATCTGTAGCTGATGATGGTGATGGAAACATCAAACATTTGGACCTCATCACATTATGATCAGCATTGACAGAAAGTAGAGCTCTTCTGATTGCGAATTATTCATCTTCATGTCAACTTTAAGAAAATCTAAATAAACAGACCCCTACTCCCCCCCATCTCAAATAACTATTTGTTTGTACCATTACTTTATCTTTTTTTTGACAGATACCCATCTAACCTCCAACCAGAAACAAGCTATGTCATCAGATGAATATAATTATTCATCCAAACCATCAGGAGTATGACAGCATTTGGCTTTGCTGTATGTAAAACTGTCTGGGTTGGTTTTAGTTTGTCTCTAAAATTCAGTAAAAGTGTCATTTTAGAGGCACGGCTTTTTTTCATACATTTCTAACTGAAAACTTTGCCAATGGCTAAATAAATCTAAAGCTATAAATTATTTGACTTGCTGACAGTTATGTGTGTAAATGCTTTTAATTTCTGCCTAATTCTTAAGATTTTGTTGTTTTTCCCATTAAACAATTACGTTCCTTGTCATAGTTAAAAGGAGAGCTCAATTCTATCATGTTCTCTGGTCCTATTACCTTAATTGGCATATCTTTTAATAGATTTACATCAGTATAAATTGTTAATTTACATCCATACCAATACTTTTTTTTTCTTTTATCTGGCTGGATATCTAGCTAAAATTGGCTGGATTTTCTGTTGAGCCTGGCAATATTTTCTAGCAAAATATGTGTTTTCTTGTTTAAACCATTTGCCCCTCTGGGATCACATCATATTTTTTAACCAGATTCAAATAACATTATTTTAACATAATGTTGGCCTCTTTATGTAGGGGCCAGAAGAGAATATTTAAGTTTGGGGATATTCAGGAGTGATGTTGGCTTTGAGCAGATAGACTTTGGCCTTTTCTGTACTAATATTGATGCTCTAGAGTAGAGGTCACAGATTAGCGGACCACGGTCCGGATCCAGACCCAACCTGATTAAAACATTTATAAATTATTGCATGTTGTCCGATGGCAGTGTCTGCTTGTCCTGTTTGTATGGTAAAGCCCTCCAGAGCACCCGGGACCAGGCTGCACGTGATACAAATGAGCCAATGAGCTGTCAGTCTGGGTTGCTGCTGCTAGCTGTTTTTAGACACAGCAGACAAACCTGTGGCAAGCCGGGCGATGGGAAAGAAGGAGAAGACGATGAGAAAAAAAAAAGCAGAGCGTGGACTGCTGGAAGAACTGTGGTGAACTGGTGACAGAAAAGTGTGCTCAAAGATGACCCTGCACATGTTGAGTATGTTTGGCTCAACCTGCTGCTGTGAAGCAGGATTCTCCACCATGAACAGAATCAAAAATAAATATTGATCTATGCTCAAAATGAGCACCTTGATATGTGCTTGACAATGGCTTTGTCTCCATTCAAATCCAGGTTTAAAGCCTTGCAAGGCAGCCTAAAGCCCACTGTGAACTTTAAGCCATAAAAAAAGAAAGAAAAAAAACTGTCAGTTCAGGTGCTATAAAAGATATGAATAAGGAAATTGTCTATATACCAAACTGAACAATTGTTCTTCTCTACTTCAAAAAACATGATTTTAAAATGATGATTTTTTAATGTTTTTTTTATTTACCCTGAAGGAAGTAGAAAAAACCCATTTTGTCCAGGAACTCCATGGGGTTCTTTGTTGGGACGTATTGTTTTCTCTCTAATGTCAGATTAGATAGGAACAAGAGCCGGATCAATTCATACAGTGTTGAACATAAAGCAGCAGTAGCATCGAAGCTTGAGCAATATCCAAGCCACAAACACTTTTCAATTGATTTCATTTTTTTATTTCATGAAAATATCATTTTCTTGTCCAGTTTATTTTTCATCATTTCTTTTAATAAATCACTTGCTCCAAAAATAGAATCTTGCTGCTCTCTGTCGTCATGGTTATCTCAGGTTTTTAAAAACTTTGTTTCACTAACTTTGAATAAAAAATTGTTGCTAAGCTACGTGTTAAAACTTTATTTTTGGCTTCCTTTATGTTCAGCTTAGTTGACCAAAAGAATGGTCAGCTGTCCTTGATCTTGTCATCACAGGGCTGTGGTTCAGCAGGTGCTTGGTTTTTTAGCTGCAGAAGCAGAATGAGAAGCGGAAATGTGCTGATCATTTCTTTCTGCAGGCTTGTAATGCTGCACATGTCAGCATGTGTGTCCGATCGTCATAGTCTAGATGGCTGGGTATACCTGTCGCAGAGGGAGGAACCTGGGAAAATGCTGGCAGATTTATATGAGGAAGAGCGAGAACCTGCAGGAAGCAGCAAAGAAAGAGGAGAGAGGAAGAAAAGGTACAAAAGGTCAGGCACAATGTGACCAACATTTTCAACCAGCACATGCATTGTCCAGGATTCTTTATAAAAATATATATACATACTGTATAGCTCCCTTCACTACGATAGCCATATATAAAACAAATTACATTTAATCACTTTTAGAGGAGATCTTATCAGTAAAAAGCATCTAGATGTAAGTAAATTAATTTTAGTTTGCTATAGAATGCTTGTGAACTATCAGGGCCATCAGGAACAGAGCAACATTTTATCAAGCTTTGAGCAAAGCAGAGATCAAAGGATACCTCTGAAAAAAAAAAGATATGCTTGTTCTTATAGGTGGGAACTCTGCCTTTATACAGGAAGGCATAAAGGAAAGCTTTTGTTCACAGAGATCTATAAAAGGTCTTATTTACAGTGTTATGTAAGCTATGTAGGGGAAACAGCACGTGGACAAAGGTGTTATGGTCAGATGAGACCAAACATTCATCTATCATGTAAAGAACATCACCCTGAAGATATAAGCAGGGAACAGGGAAACATGGGTAGCAGCATTGAATTGTTGGTACTATTTTCTTCAGACGAAACAGCAAATCAGATTATGGGAAGTTGTATGGAGTAAATACTGCAGAATAAAGAAAGAAAATCTGTCAGAGGTAGGGAAAGCCTTGGGATTCCTAATCCAGCTTAAAAAAAGCCCTACACCAGGGGTCCCAACCTTTTTAAGGCCAAGAGCTACTTCATGGCTACCAATACTAACTTCTGATCTGAAGGGATCAGCATTCATCTAAACTGCATACATAATAAACATATTTTCATTGGGAGGGAGGGATAGAAGGATGGAGGGAGGGAATGAAGAAAGAAAAGAAGAAAGGATGTAGGGAGGGAAGGAAAGAAGGAAGAGGGGAGGGGGGAAGAATGAAAAGAATGAAGGAGGGATGGAGGAAGGAATGAATGGAGGAAAAAAGGAAGGAAGGAAGAGAGAATTTGCAGGACTGGAGGAATTAAGGATGGAAGGAAGGAATGGAGGAAGGAATTGAGGAAGAATGGATGGAAGGAAGGAAGGAAGGACAGAGAGAAGGAAGAACTTGAGGAAGGATGGAAGGAAGGAGGGAAACAGGAAGGGATAAGCGTTCACCTTAACTTCATGCATAATAAACATATTTTTATTGTTACTTTTAATTCCTACTTGTCATTATTGCATTGTTATTTTGAAATTTCTATAAATGCTTGAATACTCTCTGTGAATAAAATAATGAAATGCTCTATAAATGATTTAAAAAGAAGAGCAACAGAATAAAATAAAAATTTCCATCTTAGCCCACTGGTAAATTTGGCTGTTTTCAGAAGATGCTGTAGGCATCCCATGAGGCCCCTAAGGGCCCCTTGGAGCCCATGGGAATCACATTGATGACCCCTGTCTTACACAAACACTGGGAACTACAAGGAAATGGTTCTGGTCAAACAGATTAATGTATTAGAATTGTCTAGTCAAAGTCCAGATCGAAATCCATTGGAGAATCATTGTCTTTAACTTGATTTCCACAGATGTTCTGCTTTATTTAATAAAATCGAAAAGGTCATAGCAAAAAATATTCCAAAAGTGTCCACATGAACTGCCTTCAACTTTCTATTAAATTATTTTTCCACAAGGCCAACATATTATTTCACCTACGTTCTGTGCCTACCATTCAGCTGGAAGCATTTCCAAATGGTTAGTTGCAAATGAAGGCATCTTAAAAAAATAAGGTTAAAAAAGAAAAATATAACACAGCAAGTCAGACCGGGGGATGTGAATCTCTGCATTTTACTGGCAAAAATTATAGGAGAGAAAGTAGGACAGTGGGAGTTGTCAGGCAGAACTCACATTAGCTGTTAGAAGCAGATGTAAAACATCACCAGGACCTCACTGGTGAACGAACCAAATACTAATGTGACAAACAGAGCCAGCACAAGCCAGTTACTATGTGGTATTTTTGGGTGTTTCCCCGTTTGTCCAGAGTGTGTAGGATGGGGAGGGACAGAAACAATAAAGAATAAATACATAAATAAAACAGTCTACTGATGAAAGGTGGAGTATGTGAGGTCTACATTTATTGAAATGACTCAGCTCTTGACTCAATGATTATGAAGAACAATGACAACTCAAACAAAGCAAAGAGAGACATGGCGGATTGGGACAAACCATTAACATATACCTCTGTATCAGACTGCCACTCTGGCTCTCTGAACAAAGACCCTTAACCCCTGATTGCTCCCCGTGCCCCGCACAGTGGCAGCTCACTGCTCCCTAAAGAGGATGGGTTAAATGCAGAGACTTCATTTCTCCATTGTGAGATCAATATATTCTTTAAATAGTGTGGTCATTTTATTAATTTTCCCTCAAACTGGAATCAATGTTTAAAAAAACAAATTTAATTAAATATATAGTTAATACTTAAGGATAATTGATGCTCTATGCAAAGCTTTATACAAAGATTTTTTTTCCATACAGTCTTGCTTAACTCAGCTCTGCTCTTGACTGTCTAATATAAAAGATAATCACACCAGTTGTGCTTTTTAAAATATTACACTTATAATTTGCATAAATAACAATGAAATTGGTAGGAAGCAAAAGATAAATATCCAAAGAAGTTTGCATAATGTTAAAAAGAGATTTTGTTGAAGATTTTTAGGCTTTAGTACTAAGCTTTTTTTGACAGAAATTTATCAGCATTTTCATTTTGACTTGACAATATTCTCTCACTTATCCTTCCAGACGTTCTCCAAACCAGATTATGACATTCCTGTTATAAAGGCCTCTTCAGCTTTCTGTTTTATTCTGTTAAATTCTTGGCTCTAGCAAGGTAGAAAACATATCTTCTCCTCCCAAAACTGGTACATGTTTGGCTCACTCTGATGCTGAAAAATATAACACATACAATGTTTAGCTTTGGCTTTCGGCCAAAGCTTAATGCTATTTGCATAAATTCTTAATTTCTACCGTTTAAAAAAAAAACCCCAGATACATCTGAAGAGAAACAAATCTAAAATGATGCTCATATCACTAAGGGAAGGACTTCTGTCTTTTGATTCTACTCCTTACTCTTTATATACACCATAGGAGAATGCTGGAACTCAAAGAGCCCAATCATTGTTGGAACAGCTTCATTAGTATTGCTCTTGGCGTGTTGAGATCCCCCATGACAAGTTTCTAACCGCCATTTCTGATTATTTGGAAAGCTTATCCAGTTTTTGCAACATCAATCTCGTCCAGTATGTCTTCCAATTACTGACTCAATGTTGGCCAGAGTCCACGGTTGCTATAAACTCATCCAGGAGTAATTGCTGCAAGTCAGTGACTCCATGCAATCTGTAGTGTTTCTAAAACAGTTTCTTTTTTCACTAATTGAAATAACCTGAGCTTTACTGCTTTGTTACACTGCAAAAACGATCTAGAAATAAGTAAAAATTTCTTATATTACTGTAAATGTATTTCCACTTAGATTAAGTAGGTAAATAAGATGATTTGCCAATGGAATGGGTATTTCTTCCCTTAAAATAAGATAATTAGATAATATACACTTGAAATAAGACAATGCAATTGTTTTTTCTTATTATAAATGTAAATTGTCTTGTTCCATTGGCAAAGTTTCTTACTTTCCTACTTAATTTAAGAACAAATGCATTTTTTTTTCGGAAAAAAAAAATAATTACGGTATTTAGATTTAATTTTTTTTGCAGTGCAGATAACTAGAATCAAACTCGAGCTATGTTACTGTTTTCTCTTCTTTTGTGAAGTCTTAACAATAGGTTGTGTATTAGCGCTTTATAAGAGTACTGAAGGCACTGGGGTCTTTATTGCATCATAGTACAAAAATATTGTGTGGAACATATTTTCTCTTATAGAAACTGATTGGAAATATTGGAATTGCTTGGTAAAAGAAAAATGCAAAAAATTTCAAGTAGAAGAGTGTTTTCTTTTTAACTTATAATTGTCTTTAATCAGGCTTCAAGCACTTTACAAAAAAATGATATATTGAGGTTGTTATTGGGAGGTAAGGAAGTTTGACACTCAAATGCAGTTAAAATTTCTTACTCCGTACTAAGATGAATAATTTTTGGACACAGAGAAAACAGATTACCTACTTTTGAATATTTACACACGCTTGTTCATGAGGGTTCATTTTAATTTACAAAGAAATAACCTTACATTAATCTGGAACCTATGTTTAATGGCTAAGAAAGGAAAAAATAATAAATACATGAGCAGATGTCTGAAACCACAGCTAACATTGATATATTCAGAAAAAAAGCTCATATTAGGAGTAACAACAATCTAGTGTTCGACTGCTTCTTGATAGGACTGCATGTGTTCTCCATTTGCTAAAGAAATGTATTTGGTTTTCCTTTGAAACTGTTCCAAGATGAAATTTACAGTTCTACTTTGAAGCAATATAGGATATTTAAACCTTCATTGGCTAACAGAAGGTTTTTATACTTTTATTGTGGTAGATCAACACAGAGAAATGCATAATTTTGAATTAGAGAAAATTGGAAGAATGTTTTTTTTTAAAAACATAGTGACAAATAAAAACCTGAAAAGTGTGCTGGGTCTTTTTTTATTCAACCTCTTTACTGCTTAACTCCTAAATAGAACCCAGTGCAACCAAATTCTTTGCAGACCATGTTTTTTTTTTTTAACAGACATGCAAAAATAGGTTGTAAAAAGCATTAAGAGGACAGAATAATTGTGTGGAAGAAGGACAATGAAACTTTTTCAGTGTCAAGGGAACTTAACCTTACGAACATCCATGGACAGATCACCCCGGTTATAAAACACGGTGGTGGCAGAATAATGCCATAGAGATGTTTTACACTCAGGGAGGTTAGGGCAGCTGGTCAGAGTTGATAAGGAGATTAATGAATATAAATATGTAAGACGCTGAAAAGTAGCAAATAGAATCTTTACTATGTTCTGAATCAGGGAGTGTGGACACACCAGCAAATTAGTTTTTAGATTTCTAAAATCAAGCATTTTCTATCACTTTTACTTTATAATTTTTGCAACTTTTTGCTGGTCCATCACATAAAATCCTAATAAAATACACAATCTGTGGTTGTAACATTAAAACAATGTCAAAACTTGGACATTTGGCATTTTTAGCATTTTACTTTTTATACGTTTATTTAACATAACAAAAATCAGGTCAACTTAGAAACTTCACTTGAAAAAATATACTAGAATAAAAAGGAAATATCAGTATTCAAACTATTTCCTCCATCTGATCTGCTGACCTAGATGAGGAAAACATGTCATCTTTTTAGTATTTTCTCCTCCCTGAATGACGCTGAACTAGACCACAGCAAACACCGGCTCTGTTATCTGCTGATGGAAAGGATGACATTCTGATTATGGAGGCATGAAAAGAAGTTGGAAGTGTGAAAGGAACTTGTTTCAGGTTAGCGGAAATATACCATGGACAGATTGAAGAGCTTCTATTCTTGTTTAGTGACTCATTTGAGACCAAGAGAGGCTGAAATATTTCCTTGTGAATCTGAGCAGATGCTGGATATTTGGGCCTCTAAAAGCTTATTCACTGGTGTGATATAAGCGTCAACAACAGGCCATGACAGATTGTTGCCACACATTCTGTCTGATCAAGTCAATTTGTTTGGAAATTAAAGGAGTCATCAGCAGGATGACCAAACTAGTTTTTTTTGGATTCTGCTTCCATGGTTGTATATGTTAATGCCATCGTGTGTCGTGCTTAAACAGACCTCATTAGAGTGCTATGTGAACCAAAGCAGTGCAACTGTTTTTTAACAAGCACTTTCCAGAAACAACCTCGGCTGTGAAGAACCTCAGAACTTGGTCTGGTATGACATCACTGCAGGTTTTGTTTCTTCATCTTTAAACTGGTGCTGACATCAGCTCAACAAAGCACATAAATTATGTTTCAAACCAGCAGGAGGTGGAAGATAAGTACTTTTACTACCAAGCTCTAAATATGTTTATTCACTGTGACAAAGGTTTTTTTTTCAAGCCGGAGAAAGCAGAGTGTGTTCCCATTTAAGGTCCCAAATTTGGCCTGAAATCACAAGGAGGCAGAAGAAGAAAATCAACATCTGGATATGAAAACCCATTTTTCATTCATCATGGGGGTGGGTGGGGGTTAAGCGGGTTGTAAAGCCATGATTGGGCAACAATAATACAGAAAAATCGAGCCTGTGTATAAAGAAGCACAAAGGTCCAAGTCAGGCGAGTCTATTTTCACCTCTTGTGGCTCAACAAGACGGATAAACGTAAACACAGGAGGCAGTTTCATATGGAAAATGACCTCAGCTTAAAGAAACATGAGTCAACAACAGAAAAAGTGACATACATCTTTAGGCAGCTCTTTTAAAGGTGTCACAGCGCTGGAAAACTCTGACATACAAGAACTTTAACACACGTACACAAAGTTACATTTGGCACAATGCCTGGGATACATCTCTATATCAACTCAGCTTTCCCTTTTTTTAAAAACACCAATCATACATGGCTAGGCTACACCTAAATGCATTTATCCTGGCACTAAATCAAAGTTAAAAAAACAAATATATTTTAGACCAAAAAAAGTCAAAATATGAGAGAGGGTTACATATTAATCAATGACGACCATATTTGCTATTTTCTGTCAAAGCAGATCAGAGAAAAAACACCTTAAGGATACAAAAGGAGTCCTTTGAGCCACCTGAAAGGGAAAAAACAGTCATAGAGGTTTTTGTTTTTTTGCAATTTTTTTTCAGAGGGTCAAATTTAATATAAAAAAAGAAAATTATTGAAAGGATTGCCAGAGCCAGCAAAAATTATGATAAATTTATTTGGGGAAAGAAATTAGACTTACCGTAAACCCCACTGTGAGACAACCCAAACCCCTTCATTGCTGAACTATTTAAATGGAGCCATATTAGAAGAAAATGGCAAATGTTTTCTCTATTAGTGTATAAAGGATCTCACTCCTTAAAAATATCTCTTTGGTTCTTTATAGATTCACTTATTTTACAGTTCGTTTAATTTTTCTTTAAATCAGGGCATGATGTGTTGCTTTTTGATATTTGCAAGCCTACTTCATGCTTCCTGATGGGATCTATTTAAGTGACACCCTGATTGACAACATTAGAGACAAAATCTTTCCAAAGATCATCTGAGTTTTAGTTAGTCCATCACATCAAAATAAAATATAGAATCTCTGGCTGTAACATGTAAAATAATGTCAGATATTGGATATTTGTCAAGATTAGCATTGTAGAAATGGGCTCATTGGGCTTAATGAAACCGAGGTGCTCTTTTGCCCTAGCACTATGAAACAATAGGAGTCTGGGCATAATGAGAGAAGCAACCATGGGCTGATGGTGGAAGATCCAACTCAGGCTATGCTCAGGTTTTTAACAACTCTTGCAGAGTCAGCAGCTGGATCATGTAGGCGGCTGCAGATATTTGAGAGCAAACATAATAAAAGAAAATTACATTTGATTTTACTTTTGATGCAAGTATGAAACATTTGCCAACTTTCCATTTCTTATTAAAGGACCTTCCTAAAATTTATCTCCAAACATTCCCTATTCATGATAATTAGCTAAAACAGCAACTTCAGATGTTCTTAGCATCAGAGCCAAATAAATGGCAGACTCCATAACAGCATTCTCACTTCCTTTGGAACCTCCATCTATAGAACTAGGCTCTGGGGGTGACTTCTTATAACCAAACTTGATGGAAGAAAACTAAACCCACAGGTATAAGACCAATGACAATTCATCCCTGTGGTAAATTACAGGAAGAATTGGTTAATTGTGAAGTATATTGTACCTCCCTGAGAAAGAGGGCGGCCAGCTGACATAAAGTTACTGCTCTAAGGCAAAATTTCTGCAGACTGTCGCCTGCCTTCCTCTTCATAGCTAGCTAACATGGACCGATGTCCTCCCTATTGACTATTTGTTCCCTTTGAAACATCATTACTTCGGTTAAACTCAGCTGCTTTGTGTAGCTTTATATTACATGGAAATAAAATACATATGTTGCTTCTCAAGCCAAAACAAAACGAAAAAGAAAAGCAGTTGTAAAAAAAAAAAAAAAATGCTGAAATAAATACAGAAAGGTATTGCATTCACCTAAAAAAAGTTGATCTGTTTTTCTGAATTAACGGAATTAATGAGTCGAATACATATATAAGTTAAAAGTTTTGGAATTAATGAGATAATTTTCTTTAAAAAAAAAAATGTAAAAGCGCTGTTATTCTGAACTAACAACAAACTGGAGAAAAGAAGAAAGCAAGCATATCATGAGTAGCAAAGTCAATAAACTAATAGTGATCACATCTACATAACTAAGAGACGAGAATTTCCCAGTGTCCCAGTTCTTAAAGGAAGCAAAAAGGAATTAAACTCAAACGGGACATGTTGAAGCTTCTCTGACGGAAAAGCATCTTTTGCTTAGAAATCTGCAAAGCCAACAATAACATGAAATCACAGCAGCATCATTAATTTATAAGAGACCGATTTCTTCTTTTTCTAGGTGAATGCAATACGCTTCTGTATATGAGCCCTCTGAATAAATGCTTTTATAATTGTTATAATCCCACGTCTGACAAGTTACTGTAAACTGTATCTTTCAAGTTTACTTGGAAATAAACCCGCTGCAGCTCCAGATAGTGTCAGTACCACAACAACCCTGAAAAGATGCCTTCTCTATTAGTGACTGGCTACTCATAATTGGAAGTAGTGATGTCAGGAGCTTCAGAGGCTCCTGGATCTGCCGTCTGGGTCTCATTTGGGATTGCACTGGATTGAGGGGAAGGGGGTGTTGGGGCTAATGTTGTCAAACTAGTACCATTGGTTAATTTGGCTGTGGCAGACTGTGAAAAATCCCTGGAAGAAGGCAAAATGTTGGATTCCAGATCATTCGTTGATGAAACCTCCTCTGGTTGGTCTGTAAATGGCTGACTTTTATCCGCTGATTGCTGACCTCTTGATTGGCTGGTAGAGCAGAAGGTGTTGTTGTTATTATTGCTGTTTGTTTGATCAGGTGAAAGAACAGTTGAGGAGGAAACAGTTTCAGTTTTAGGAGAAGCAGTTACAGTCCATGATTCCTGGTCAAAGTCTGGTAGCTGGCGAGCTGCTGTAGGAACTAGAGTGATCTGGTCCAACCCAACAGACTCAGCAGCTACGCGGCTGCCTGTCGACAGGCCGTTAAGCTCGTTACAAACTGCTGACTGCCAGTTATTGGAGCAAAAGACAGCTGGAATCCTGAAAGTTAAAGGGGAGAAATCTGAATTATAATAAAATATTAATTACACCACAATAATATCATTGTTTTCTATGTGAGGCCTTAAGAAATAGTTTTTATTGATTTATATTTTCTGGGATTAATACATGTTCTTTATATGTTCAGTTTTAGCAGCAATTGTGTAATAAAAATGTTTTTTTTCCTAAAATCTCATGCAGCCTAAAATGTGTAGCAGTTTTAGCTTTACAACCTTAACATTTTGATGAGGAATATTTCTTAAGGCTCTAAGTCAAGGAAAACTACCTACAAGTAAGTTTCTGTGAAAACCTGAGAACCTTTAGAAATTAAATAAATAAAATCTTCATTTTACATAACTGTTAATTTAAGTCATTGTTTTTGCTATAGCCCTCTGTATTTATTTGTCTATCCTCATCCCCCAATACATCTTCCTACACCTTATTTAATTGATTTTATTTTTCTATTGTATATACTGTGTCTAAACATCCTCTATTTTCTTGTATGTGCAATTTTTCCTGCTACTGGAAATACAATTTCCCAAAGGGAGTAATCCCAAGGGATTAATAAAGTCAAGTCTAAGTCTCTAAGTCTATTTTATAAGCTTGGAGAGATTTTTGGCCTGCCAGAAATAAAGTCTAAAGAAGTTAAAAGTCGTCTAAAACTTTACCACACTACTGCAGCTGACCCGAAATGTAAACAAGATGCAATGGAGTTTCTATTTCAAGTCCCAGGTTTCTAAATATAATAAAGAAGTGTACATTTTTTACTCCTATTATTATTTAAATACAACAGTCATCATTAATATTGCATGATAAAACTGTTATTAGTAATGGTATTTTGCTAACCTGGCGAGCTGGCTTTGAAGCTCCTGAGCATGTTGGTTGCACTGAGCAAAAAAAGCTGCCTGACCGTCTACAAAGTCAGTCAAGCTCCGCATGTGGTTTGTCTGAGGAAAAACATCAACACAACATCTGATACTCCAGTAAGAGAAACACATTCCCATTTATGCTGTGTCTGCAGGAACTCTGGCTAACATACGTGCGTGTTGCCGATTCCTGCCAGGCTCCGACTCATGATTTCTGACTGCCGATCGAAAAGACTCTGACAGATTCTCAGCTCCATCTCAGCCTGCTCACACAAACGCAAATCATTGGTGGGCACCGTGCCCGTCCAGCTCACTTCATCTCTATGACAACATCTAGAAGAGTACTGTGTTGCAGCTGTTCTTTCAGTATTTTTTTATTTCTACAAATCAGCTTCTTTTCACTCATTTGATGAAAATCATACAATTTCTAATCTTTCTGCAAAAGAAGTCAGACCCAGAGTTTCATGTTTGTCAACATATAACAACAAACTTCAACTTTAATTCTTTATTTTTTATTTCATATGAAAGTTAAGATAAAACAATGTATTGAAGTTAAAGCATGAGTTTAAACCTTTTTTTAATAAAGTTTGAAAAACATTGGCATACATTAGTATTCAACCCTACAAATAAATACTTTATATTTTACTGGAATTTCTAACCTTGCCAAAGCTTCTACTTTTCATCTATGCCTGACTTTGACTGGACCATTTTAAGACCTGATTAAATTTGAATTTAAACCCTTGTTGGATATTGAAAATATTTCAGCTGTATTTACTCTAACCTATCTCCCCTGCCCCTGTTGAAGAAAATTATCTACACAGCATGATGCTGCCATCACCCTGTTTCACTGCTGATCTGCATTTTGCATATAGAACAAAATAGTTTTTTTTTTCTCTCTCATCTAAGCAAAGATAATTCATCGTAAAATGCACAACCTATCTGCTGACTGTTCAACCTGAGCTGTAGGACACTGCAGCACCTCTACAGTTATAATCATGTTTAAAACAAAAAATAGAGATAAACACACTAAGATTTAAGGGTTCTAAGTTGACTCTTTGGTTTTGGATTGTTTAATTGATTATGCAACTTAAAGTTTATTACCTAATCTGTCAGACCTGCCAGTGTTTATAGATGTTTGTACCTGAGAGATTTCCTGGGCCCATATCTGTTTGGAGAAAGCAGAACAATTATTATTTCAAAGGCCAAACTGTAGTTTCATTTGTTTTATTTTTCTACAACAAACATCTGACCTTCAGCCATTTAACATGCAGGAAGTTGAACATGTAGGAGACATGAGACAGGTAGTCCTCATCCAGTGGGTTTGAATTCATGTTCTAAATAAAATAAGAAAACAAAGATAGCAGAGACAGAATGGAAATGGGAATGTTACAAAAAAATGGTTCCTTCTTTTTTTGTATCATAAGCAAAGCCGCCACTCACTCGGGCCTCTCTGTCGGCTTCGTGAGCTTTCCTCAGTCTGGTCTTGGCAATATCCAAATCCAAACGCTTGTTAAGCAGCATCTTCCGCTCACTCTGTTAAAGCGTTTACAATGACAGTGATTCAGAACCTAAACAACCGGACAGAGGGCGTGTATGTGTCAGGGCGGTGTAATTCACCTGGATGACTTTGTATTCCCCCTCTGTGAAACTCTTCAGAGGTGTGAGAAAGTGAATATTGGTGCATTCTGCAAACTTCCTCTCAGCTTCTCCCAGCTGCTTCTGGGTCTCTCCGCACCTCAGCAGAGCTGTTCCTGTATGCAAACATAAGGTGGGTACATGAAAGTCTTTCCAACCCTTTTCAAACACCAGTTTTATGTGATGCAAACCTGAGACACAGATAAATCATTTGTGCAACCTTTAATAACACAGTAACGCCCCTATACATAGCACTATGAGGTTATTTAAATTAACACCAATTATTCTGTAATGAAATGAGACAGAAATCCTGCAGAAGATAAAATAACATGATTTCCAACCTAATTATATTTACCATTTATTTAAAATGTGTCAAATTGATTACAATAGTTATTGAAACCTTAATGTATTCTGAACAGCTTCTTGCATGTTTTAACTGGAATTTCAATTATTTATCTTTGGCAATTCTCTCAGATTCTTGATGGGACGCCAACATGGAGCTCAAGGAAACGTTAATAATGCTTCCAGACAGCAGAAACATGTCAATCTGCCAGAAGTGTTAATAATTGTGGACTTAACTGCATCACCTGCATTGTTGAAATAGAAAGTGTGAACATCTTGTAAAGGAAGAAACATAACAGAAAAAAAAGGCAGCAGTAACTGGTTGTATGAGCAGAAATGTTTAACTCATTTCCATTTTCAGTCTTCTGGATTTCACCTGACATCAATCATAAGACATCTTGTTAACCTGTGAATGGTTCAACTATCCTCATGGGACGGTCCCCACATTTGGATGCCATTGAACCTTAGGTTGCAGACAGGACAAAAGAAGGTTAAAAGGATCTATCAGTAAAAAAATTCAGTCAGGAAAACAATATTTAATAAAGTCCCCTGCATGCATGAATAAATGCAGAAAATATGGCAAACAGGGATGTGAATCAAACAACATATTTTCCCTGACTGATAAAAGATAAAATGTAAATTGGTGAGAGGGGAGCTCAGAGCCTGACAGCAACACTGATGGAACCAAAGATCACCCTGTTAGTACCAGATTTCACCAAATAGAAATGAGTGAAAATTCCTAAACCCTGTGGAAGAATGTGTTCAGGTCAGATGAAATCAATGCTGAAGACAAAACCTATCAGAAAAGCATAATTAAAACAACAGCTTACCAGAATGTAACATGGTGGTGGCGACATCATGCTTTTCTATTTGTTGTTTTTCCACTTCAGAGGACGTTAGACTTTATGACAAGATTGATTAAATTACCAACTATTATAAACTCCATTTAGCTACAAATGTGAAGGTGATTAAGCATCACAGTGAGTCAAAGCATGTCTGAATCCAAAGACTTCTGCAGAAGTTCATTTAAGTTTCAGAACTTAGCCAAAACTAAATCTGAGAGTAAAATGTATGAGGTTACCTACAGAAGGCTCTTAGCAACAGATGTCCTTGTACGTAGTCTGGTAGATCCTGAGGACGGACCAAATAAGAAAGAATCCTGACATTGAATTAAAGTCCGTCTCAACTCTATATTATTTTAAGAATTTTTATTGTTATTATAAACCCATAATGAACTTTTGGAAATGCCACACAATTTGCAGCAAAAAATGAAAAACACTTGTAGAAAAAAATTTATATATACATAGAAATTAAGTATGTAGAGTGAACATAAAGTGCAGCGAGTGCCAGTCCAGAAATGGGCTGATTGTCTGTTCATGTTCATTTTTTTAGTGTATTTGTGACTCTGTTTATGTGGCAGGGGTTGTTGCAAAATAGTAGAAACAGATGCACAAGCAGACTTACCATAGGGGGTGTTTGATCCAATCTCCAGTCCAGCCTGGGTCATTTGCTCTCCCAGTACCTCGTGTGCACGGGGTCGAGTTGGGGCGTTCCATTCCAGATGCTCGTACAGCCGGTCCTCTAATCGAGCTCCTGTGTGTCAAATGTAAAAAAGAATTAATAAATAAAAGAATAAAAACATACTTTTTAAATCTAAATATGTTATTCTTATATGTCAACTTTCCTTTTGTTCAGTTACAAAAAAAGAATCAATATTCTGAATTGGAGCTAAATACTCTCTGAATATTAGAATTGACATTTTATGAAGCTTTATCCTTATTTCCCCTGGCAGCTCAATGGACCACTTTCCTGACAAAGAGCAGGCTGTATCCACTCATAACTCCATTAGCTGAAGAAATTGAATGCAGGAAAAAAAAAAAGATATCTATTCATCTTTAAAAACCGATTACAGTCAGAGCAAACAGGCAAATTCAGAAAAGATGGAGGCACTACAGAGTAAACACTGATTTACAGCCAAGCAGGAGGTTTATATAAACTGTTATTATTTTCATGACTAGGTGACTCCAGACTTATTCTTCACAAACAAGTTAATTATATTTATGTGTAAATTTGGAAAGATAGCATATAAATTGTTTTTGTAAATGCAAATTTGAAGAAAATGATATCCAGAGGTGAAATGTATTTATGAAAATATGGTTTTTAAAGTTACTCTTCTTTTTTTTCTCATATTTTATAATTTCAGATAAACAATCGTTTTATTTCTCTTTTCAAATTGCATTTTACAGATCACATCCTCTTCACTAATAGGGCAGGCAGGCCCCCAAAGAAAGTTTGAAAATATAAAATCCACAAAAAATAAATAAAACCAAATAAGAAATGTTTCTTATTTTTTTTAAATAAAATCAAAGAAAACAGAAGTTACACTCAAAAACCTTTTTTTTTTTTTTTTTTTTTTTTTTTTAAATAGGAAGACATTTAAACATTCCATGTCTGGATTGCATCTATTTTTCTTCAAATTTCTATTTAAAAAAATGTGTTTTTTGCATGCAAAAATAACTGAATACAATTATGGGTAGCACTGCTGCCTTGCAGCTAGAAGGTTCTGGGTTTGATTCTGAATCTGTATGATCTGGTGAATTGTAAAGTGCCTTGAGATGACATGTGTTTTGAATTGGCGCTATAGAAATAAACTGAATTGAATGGTTGTTTGAAAGAAGATGGATGGATGAATTCACTCTATACTAAAGCAGCAAATAATTGCACTTACTACTTGACTTTTAATGTTTTTTCACAACCCAAATGTGGTCACAATTAGCAATGCCAGTGCACACATTGCAGATATGAGGCCTATATGGAGAAGGATGAGTGAGAAGAGAAATGAGCTTCTCTGTTAGTGTGAAAATGTTTTAAATTACCAAAAAAAAAAAAAAAAAAAAAAAAAAAAAAAAGCCAAGACCAATGGATGACTTGGAACATCAAACACAGTGGCAGCCTGTCAAGGTCATTGTTTAAAATTCTTTACATAATGTCACTGAGCTGTCACTTCATTTCTATTTAATAATTGGAAAACTTTGTTTTAATTAATATTTTTAAAGATTATTTTTAGGCTATAGTGGTCTTTATTTTGTTATTTTTGATAGTATGGAGAAGGGCTAAAACAATTAATCGGATTAATTGTGATTAATCAATCTTTGAAATAATCAGCAACAAATTTAGCAATCACTTACTCGTTAACTGGATGATAGAGACTCTAAAACATGCCTTCAGCTGACAGAGTACCCTACTTCGAGCAGTAACTACATTAAGATTGCAAAAAATATATATACAAACATTTTGTATTTAAGATAAAAAAAGATGTTTGTCTGTCGATATGCTCTATCCTCAAGTGGAAAAGTTTTAGTTTCACTTGGTTTAATTTCATAAAAAGTCTTCTTTAAGGAAACTTTGACTGACCTATTATTATGCAATTTATAAAAAAAATAAAATAAAAAATCAACTAACAACAAACAAATGCAGGGGCTTGGTTCCAGGTACTTAGAGATTTACTTCCATACAGAGAGCCCCTATTCTGATCTTCAGCTACCACAGAATACATGTCAGATTAAATAATACTACTTATACTTCAGCGATAGTATGGAGGTGTTACTTTATTGTATCTCTTATACTATATCCTTTGGTTGTGCTGTTCTTTTTACATCTCTTTGCAGGTGATAAAGCAGACTGAAGATGTTTCATCATCATCTCCCTCTTATCTCCTCTTTCTTTCATCTTTTCTCCTTTTTTCCTGTTTTTCCTTTCCTGTTCTACTTTCTTTTTTTTATTTATTTATT